ACGCCGCCGCTCTCCGCCCCTGCGAGGCCGGCGCGCTCCGAGCCCCGCAGAGCAGCGGCCTGGGCGCCCTCTCGCGGGGGCCTCGGAGGAGAGGCTGGAAGCGGGTGTCTCGGGAAGCCAGGGCGGGGGAGGCGGGCTCGGGATGGCGGCGGTAAGCTCGCGGCGGAATCTCGAGACCGGGCGGCCGCCGGCGCCTCCCTCCTCGGAGACGCTGCCCGCCCCGCGGCACTCCGCGGCCCGTCCCCGCGTGCGTGTGAAGGACGGACGCGGCTGGCGGAACGTGTGTTCTTCCCTGGTGCTTGTCTTAGTTCTCGTGTCGGGAAGCGTGTGGTCTCCGATCCACCGGTGGGCTGTCAGCCGTGTCCAAGGAGCGGCGGAGAGGGCGAGGGGCAGCGTCCCCGCCCGCCACAGCCACCTCGGGCGCCGCCCAACGCCCCGACATCACCCCGGGGCCCGCCGCCTCACACTCCAAAGCCCGAGACACTCTGTGATGGCCGAAAAGCTTTCCAGCTTCACGGCACAACCCCACCTGCACGTGCCCGCTGAAACCCTGCAAGCACCGCGAGGACGGGCGGCACGGCGTGCGCACATCCAGCTGCCTGCTGGAAATCGGATGCTGTGGCTGGCACATCTGGGGGGTGGCGGGGTGCACCTGTGACCCCAGTGGCTTGGGAGGCTGAGGTGGGAAGCCCATCTGGGTAACACTTGAAGACCCATCCTCCGCACGTTTGTTCAGAGCGCCCCCTAGGTTCCCTAGGTGCGGTGAACACGCCTGAGTCTCATCTACTCGGGCCGAGGGAGGGGTCTGAACCCAGCCTCCTCGGCAACGCAGCAAGATCCGGGCTCAACCCGAGACAGAGCCCGGGGCGCCTCTCACGCTGGGCCGCCCTTGGGACCAGCCTCACCGCACAAAGCTCGCCACGCCGTCCTTCTTGCCCAGCTCCCAGGATTCATTGGTCCTATCTGATACGATTTTACTTTCCTAACATTTATATTGCACTGAGTAGAAATTTGTTAAGTTATACGATAAACTGAAATTATAGATTATAATTAGATATTTAACTCATCTTTTAAAGCAAAATGATGTACTGGGGTTTTCTGCTTAATAGGGATCATTGCTGAAAATGTAAGAACGCCAGGAAGGTGCCCTAAGTGAATTCTGGGGAGGTCCTTGAAAGAATCAAAACAAAACCTGGTTGAAAGAAAACATTTATTGAATCAAAATCAATACTTTCTTTTTAATATCTACAAGCCAACACTGAATTCACTTTATTCAAGAATGAACACAATGTACAAAAAAAGTATGCTTATATTATAAAAATATGTCAACTTTATCTTCTGGGCGCCGAGCAGAAGTCACTTTAAACAAAATCAAGGCAAACTTGCTCTCCCTACTGAAACCAGCCTCACCTCCCAGCAGAAGAGAAAGCGAATGGGAAGCCCTGCTGCCGCCGCCCGGCTCTCAGCAGCGCTTCCTGGCTGCACAGAGGCGGCCATCGCTCCTGCCCCCGCTGTGCGACTCGGCTTCCTTCAGCTTGTCTCGCTCAACAGTTGTTAGCGTCTACGTCAGCAAAGCAGAAACAGAATAAAGAATTCTGAGCACAAAAATCCTACGTATTTAATCAGCTTCAATTTAACAATGAGAGCCGCTGCCCCGGACAACAACCAACCTCCCAAGATTTACAACCCCACTGATGAAGGTGGGAAAGCCGCTGCCCTCCAGAAAAATGAGTGGGAAGGTCGCGTCCCCGTGGCGCTCTTCACGGGCACGTCGCAGCACCTGGCCCGCGCCACCGTGCGTGTGGCCCTGGGGGGCTCTGGCTCCGCACTGTCTAGTGGTTGGGAAACATGAATAAAAATGATCACGAGCTGAGGCAGAGGGAGTGGCTCCAGGTACTGTCCTGAGGAGTTCCGGGGCAACACAAAACGGCATTCGTTCTGAAGTCAAAATGCACCGTGCTGATGATGCCAGGAAAACCCCTGCACCGTCCAGAGCCTGCGCGGCGGGCTGGGGGACAGCCCCAGCTGAGGACAGCGGCCACAGGGAGCAAAGACAGCGGGCTAAAGCTGCAATTATTCAGCTGCAGGAGGACTTTCCCTCACAAAACCTCTCTGTGCTTGGCACTGACACCTCTGAAGGCCCCAGAACTGCAGAAGGCAAGGATCGCGTCCTCCAGTGCCCCCTCTAGTGGGTAAATCAAATTCAGAAATGCTCTATTTTACTTACATAAACAGCATTTCTTGCGTTACCTGTTTAGTAAAAACCTGGGACAAAGATTTTCCCCTGGGAAAAAGGATGAATGAAGGCAAAGAGAAAATTATCATTGTCCCTCTCTGAGATGACCAACCCCTTCCAGCTCTCTGCATTTCCCGTTCAGCCCCATCTCCTGCATCAAAGTGTTAATCCCGCCAAATGCAGGTAGGTCTGAATCAGACACGGGATTTAAACATTTTAATACTACAAGCCACTGACTCAGTTTAACCCTATGCTCTAATACGGTGCAGAAACATTTACAGAAATATTTGAGATACACAAAGTCTATGAAAGAGAAACACTTTGGAACCTGAGCAAAGGCTTCTTACCAAAACCATAAAAAGCCACCGTATAGGTCGTTCTCACGGGCAGTGAGTCCCCCAGGCGGGTGTGTTGCTTTCGGCAACATCCACAGCCCCCAAAATCTGCACAGCGCGGGAGGCCCCACCCCCCCGCCGGTCTGCAGTGAGTAGCAAGGGCCTGAGGTTCAACACGCCGCTGGCAGAGACCACCGGATACCAAGACACTACACGTGAAGACAGTAAAACTAAACCAGGTACACGCAGAATGAACGGCTCACGGGGAAGACGCTGCTCAGAATGGGACAGGCTGACTCTCACCACACCACAGACACACAGCCACGGTCCTTGCTCTCAAAATAAATACGCTGAACATTCACAACAGAAGGGACGCCTCAGGAGCGCAAGCTTCTCTTACTGCAGTTCTCGTCACACAGACCAAAAAGCCAAGACATCTAAAAATAAGCTACAAAGTTAGCTGCTTCTGTGAGCCAGGGACACACCTGGGGGCCACGCCTGCACTCTGATAGCAGCAGTGTCATCGGCCCAGGCCCGGGAGAAGCGCTCACTTCTCACAGCCCCGGGCCAGCAAACCAACCCCATGAAGCATGCAGACACCTGCTCTGCTCAAGTCTGGAACAAAGAAAAAGGATCATTGTGCTTGCGGGTCTCACACCTTCCAAAACATACAGTAAGTGGCGGCAAGCTAACAAGTCACGGGCAGTGCTTCCCAGGGAAACCGTAAGGCAGAAAGGAGATGTTTAAGACGGAAAACTGCAGAACGGGGCTAGCATTCACGGAACAGCATGCTAAGGTCGGGCCCGCCGATGACGCCCGCGACGCCGCACGCCTGGACGCTGCGCCAGCTGCGGGGACGGGCACGCGCCAGCTGCCGGGACGTCTTCAGGCCGAAGCGACGTCTTGCTGGCGTCATCTCGAGGGTGGCAGGCGCTGTCACACTTCTTCTTTTGTAATTAAAATGGAAGAATGCAATCACAAGACAGAAAATGATAGAATAGTGGACAGAGAAAATACCGAAATTCATAATGACCTATAAAATCAAAAGAAAAACATTATATTCACTTTCAGCCTTTATCCTTTTTTATAATTTTCTTTTAATTTATTTTTGAGACAGAGTCTCGCTTTGCAGCTGAGGCTGGCCTCAAACTCAATGCTCCTCCTGCCTCAGCGTCCCAAGTCCTGAGATTACAGGCGTGCGCCACCACGCCCGGCACTACCCTTCTTCAAGGTGGGGTTTTTTACGTTAAAGCTTATAATGAAGGGTTTGTACACAGTGTTAAGTGTAAAATTACTTCACCGTGCATTCACAGTATTCCAAGTGTTGGTCTCACTCTTTAAAGGGTGTGAGAAGCTGCACCTTGTCCCAAGACTCCCAGGACAGCCTCCTCCACCAGCCGTCCTAAAGCATCTGAGCTTCTTTGTGAGGAAAACCACCCAAAACCTACATTCTCCGCGCAGCGCCGGCCGCTGAGCCCAGACTTTACCCCCCACTCACCGAGGCCGCGCTATCCCGCCTTGGTGTCCACGAGCTGCATCTGCACCCCGGCCGCCATCCCTGCGCTGTAGCCGCCCTTGGACTGCATCTGGCTTTGGATGGAGCTCACCTGCAAGGGGCAGGCAACACGTCAGGCGCAGCGGGGACGGGACAGTCCTTTCCCAACACGGGAGCTGGGCTGCACTCCACAGGTTAGGGAATAAAAGGTTTTTTTGCAACCATTTCTTCCCCTCTACTTCTCAGTTACTTATAAAAGTCAGGGTTTTTTATGGAAAAAAAAATAACATTTCGTAACAAAATGGTTAATACATTGAGTAAAGTAGTTAATCAGTGTACAATATTACGATGTCCTAAAGCATGGCTTGAAGAATTCTCCAAACGATACTGGCATAAACCTTCCTTTTCAATGAACCAAGAGAAATTCGTAGTATAACTATCTTGTATTTTGGCTTTGTCCTTTTTCCTTCCTTTCCTCCTAGTTCCTTTTTCCTCTTGAACGTTTTCTTCCTATTTCACAATGTCTATTGTACATTTTGGATCTTATTTTTCTCTTTCAGGTCCTCACACCTGGGAGACAATGTGATATTTACACATGAATGGGGCTGTGGGGAAAAAGGATCCCTTTTCACTTATAAGTATGGTCTCTAGTTGCATCCATTTACCTATAAATGTCTCAAGGTTATCCTTCTTTATGGCTGAGTAGTATTCCATTGTATAAAAATACCACATCTTTTTAATCCTTTACTCAGCTGATGGCCATCTGGGTTGATTCCAAGATTTAGCTATTACAAATTGTGCTGCTATAAACATGGGTGCACATATATCACTGTGTCTGTAATTCTTCTGAGAGAATACCCAGAAGGGGGTTAGCTGGATCAAATGGGACCACTAATCGCTAGTTTTCTGAGGAATCTCGACACAGATTTCCACAATGGTTGCACCAGTCTACACTCCCACCAGCAGTGGAGAAGGATTCCTTTTTCCCCACAGCCCCACCACCATTTGTTATTGGTTGATTTCTTCATGAGAGTCCTTCTTTCTGGGGTGAGATGGATTCTCAGTGTTGTTTTAATTTGCATCTCTCAGAAGAACAGGGATGTTGAACATTTTTTCATGCATTTATTTGCCATTTGTATTTCTTCATCTGAGAACTGTGTATTCATCTCAGATGCCCATTTTTGGATTGGGTCTTTGAATTTGGGAGGCTTGATTTTTTTCAATTTTTTATATGTTCTAGATAGAAGTCTTTTGTCTGAGGGACAACTGGCTAAAATTTTTCCCACTCTGTGGGTTGTCTTTTCTTTTGATGAGCAAAAGCTTTTTAATAGGTCGAGATCCCAGTTGTTGATTCTTCGCAGTGTTTCCTGTGCAGTTTGGGTTTTGTTCATGAAGTCTCTACCTACCCCTATGTCTTCAAGATTTCTACCTACTTTCTCCTCTGGTAGATTTAGTGTTTCTGTTTTAATATTTAGATCTTTTATCCATTCTGATACACGCGTTTGGGAGATTTCGGACCTCATCAGCCTGCAATAAATAAGGGATATTATTAACCCAACACAGGACCACTTCAGTTACTCACAAAAGACTCAGGTATGAACAACACTGGACCAGACAGAGAGAAATCTCAGTCTCTATGGCAGAACACAAGTCCGACAAAGTATAAGTGCCTAAATTTTCTAGTCTAACTGGGGGCTACTGTGGTGGAGGCGATAACCTCCTCTAACACCTCCCAGGGCTATTTTCTGACAGGCCCTAAGATACACAGATGCTAGGATATTTCCTTTCTTCACTCAAACACACACACAGTCTTCGCAAACTGCAATGACTTCAGTTTACCCCTATTGTCTCAGGCTGGAAGCACGTTAGCCGCAGGTGAAAGGCCTGCGGTGGGAAGACTTCGGCAGCTGCACTGGTCAGGCCCAGCACGGCCTCCCTGCTGCCTGGAGCTCGATGGGGACACTGTAGCTCACGCATCCACACGCAGGACAAAGCCCGACGTGCGAGGGCTTCTCCCCTGGCCATCCTCAGTCAACATATTACGTTTACAGAAAGTAACCACGTGCCGAGTTGTTTCTGGAGTCAGGCAGGTTAGGACAGCAGCACATGGAATTATGCAAATGAAGGGTGGCTCTGAAATGGGCAACTTCTACCGCTCTGGAAATTTTAGTAAGGTGCAACATGTTACTCTATGATACAAGGTGTTATTATAGCACCTATATTAAGATTTGTCAAATGACTAATAAAAATAGAAAAACTGAAATTTATAGCCGTATTTCTTTAAGGCCTCCAAATAAACTTGCTCCACTAATGTTGTCTGAGGGCTATGGCTGCCATGTGACGCTGACGTTAATCTACATTCAGCATCTGCCCGATACAGTGACTAACACCCAGAAAGGTGGCCTGAGGGATGGGAGGCGGTGCAGTGGCAGGGCGCTGCTACCAAATAATTTCTCACCTACCCTTGGCTTTCCTAGATACTTTAGGCCTATTTTTAAAATTAATTAATTAATTAACTTATGAGACAGAGTCTTGCAATGCGGCCCAACCTGGCCTCAGACTCTCAGCAATCCTCCTGCCTCCGTCTCCTGAGTACTAGGATTGTAGGCATTCGTCACCGTCGCAGGCTAGGCTTTTTCGGGGGGGGGGGCCTTTTTGAGACAGGGTGTTTACTTTTGGACTACAAATTCAAGCTGGCTGTGGACTCACTTTGTAGCCCAGGCTGGCCTCGAACTCACATCAATCCTCCTGCTCGTCTCCCAAGTGCTGGGATTACAGGGGTGCATCACCACACCCAGCTAGGCCTATTTTAAAAACTTTATCTTTTAACATTGTGCATTCACAACGGCATGCAGAGTATACAAAAGAAAAATTCCTCTAAAAGACAACTCTGCAATTTACTAGTGAAGGTTGTGGGCTCTCTAGGAAGTGACCTCTCGGTGCTGACAGTGAGTGTGTCACTGTGAGGGACAAACAGTGTGTTCCACAATAGGGTCCCAGCCCTGAGGGGGTCACAGAGCTCTCTGGTGAGGACCTGGTATAAAAGGTGGCCTGGGGCCCACCCCAGCACTGGGGAACGTAACTCCGGGACAGCCAGTGCCCTGAAATGAGGATGCACAGGAGTGAGAAGGCGAGCAAATACCACGGACTACAAATTCAAGCTGGCCTTGAACTCACAGCCACCCTCCTGCCTTAGCCTCCTGGGCGCTGGGGGTATAGGTAGGTACTGCATGCCCAGATACTGAACTTTAATTCTTCTTGTGTAACATGTTTGTACAAATCTGAAGTGGTAAGGACATTTATAGATGAGAAAGAAATCAATGGTCATCGTATAATAAATATGAACCCACTCATTCTGGTATTCGATCACCACGGTGATAGCAGTACCAGGGTCGCCCTGTCCCTTACTCCACGTGGCCTGTGGAGGCAAAGCTACCGACTCTCCTGACAACGACACGACCCCGTACGCTTGCATCCCCACAAGAGGAGTCCAGTGAAACAAAGCACTTTTCCTGCAGACTTCACGCAAAATCTCCCTCCAGGAAGCTCGCCGCCTCCCCTCCGCCTGCCGACCCCTGAGGGCACACGGCGCTGTCGGGCGCTGTCGGGCGCCGTCGGTCTCTGCTCCGTCCGCGCTCTGGCCGAGTCTTTGCCAGTGCTGTCCAGTCAGTCACAACACAGCCAGAACTCTACTTCAGGAAAGCCTCGCGACTCCCAAGGCTGAGCGCTTCAGGGATCACCCGGATACCTGCTGCCCGGGGGAAGGGGCCCCAAGAGCCTCACTGGCGGAGTTCTTTGTACTGCCCGCCTCCGGGTTTTCTCGTAGACGCAAATTAGAAGAGTTCAGCTGAATCAATGTAAATCTGACTCTCAAATTTAATAAGGCCTCTACAAAAGACAGCAAATAGCTTTTCTTCTTTTTTCTGGTTCTTCATATCCACATATGATAAATTTTTGCTGCCTTTCCCTCAAGGGCTATGTGCATGAGAACTTACCTTAGACTTAATAAACAAATCACAAAAAAAAACTCTAATATCGTCAGGTAAAAACTGTTATTTTACAAAATAAATGCAATAAAAATGTTTGCAAAAATTAACTGAACCTGAAATAAAAAGCTGCTACACAGGCCGTGCTAAGCAGGTCTGTAACGCCGGCTACTAGGAGGCTGAGGCAGGAGAATTGTAAGTTCAAGCCCAACCTGACCAATTTAGTGAGACCCTGTTTCAAAATAAAATTTATTTTTTCAAAAGCTGGGGCTGTAGCTCAGAAGCAGAGCACTTGCTTAGCGTGTGTGAGGTTCTCCTGGTTCAATGGAGGGCGCAGTGACCAGAGAAACAGCGTTTAGACAGACAGATGAGGGGTTATTAAAGGCTGGCCTCCAGGTCCTGCCGTTGGGAGCCTGAGAATCATGGGTTACTGACCTCCTCTCGGCACTCTAACCTTTGAAGCATTTATCAGGAATATGGAGAATTTAGTACAGGAAACAAACATGTAACCTCTCAAACCGAAAGGGAGACGAGCTGTCATGATACACAGCGGTTACTGCTCAGTACCTGTGGGGCACTGGTTCTGGGGCCCCGGTGGATAACAAAACCCCCAGATGCTTAAGTCTCTTTCACAGCATGGTACAGTATGTGCACATAACCTACACACAGCCTCCTGGTAACCTGTCACCTCCTGACTACTTGTACGTACCCCGTGAACAGTGGTATAGTGGTTGAACGCACAGTATCCACGGGTAAAGACAGCCACCATGTTTCTACTCTGTGCCTACAAATTCTCTTGTCACAGCGTTATTAAAATTGGCTGGCTGGCCCGACAGCTCGGCCCATCCGACCCTATCCGAGGCCCGGGTACATATCCCTCCGCACACTTACTGAATTCATCCCGCTGAACAGGTCTCCTGAGCCCACATGAGCCGTGTGTACAAAGTTCGTTGGCTCTCCGATCATACTTCGGTCAATCCGCCGCCGCCTTTTCTAAAACATCAAGAAAAATGTGTTGAGAAATACGTTATTAACAAAAAATTTATTCTGATGGGTTCTTCTACCCAAGGATAGTGATTTTAGTAATGAATTTAGCTATGACAAAAATACCTTAGCCCACCAAAATTACCTCGTATGAAATCTCCCAGAGAAGTATATACACAAAAAAGGATTAGCACAGCAAAGTAACAATTACTACCTGTAACAATGGTATTCTGGCAAGCTTTGGTCACCCACATATTTGCATAACAACCACGTTTTTTCATGCCAGATGAACACCATGCTAATGGTATAAGAAGATCTGACACAGGCACGTCACATACACTGGCCTGAAAACCCATTTAAACTTTTAAATTTCATTTTTTTTTTAGGTGGGGTGTCTTTTTAAGACAGGTCTTGCAATGCAGTTCAGGCTGGTCTTGAGCTCACATCGGTCCTCCTGCCTCAGCCTCCCAAGTGCTGGGATTACAGGCATGAGCCACTATGCCTGGCTCATTTAAACAAAGAGACATCAAAAAACTAGAAATGATTTTGGAAATTTCTGCTATAAAGGAATGATGTTTGAGGAGGTCAGTATGTTTACCCTGACAAACACTGTACAATGTATATAATACATTGAACATTTTCAGTGTCTCATTAGTATATACAATTTTTGTTTATGTATTAAGCTTTCTTTTTAAAAATGAGATAAATGAATAAACCAGGTAGGGTTTGGGGGGGTAGACCTAGCAATAGGAAAATACAGTAATACAATGAGAGAAGGAAGTTACTACCATTCAGTAATAGTTCTTAATGTTAATGGTCTCAACTCTTCATTTTTTGTGTTTTTTTGTTTTTCGTTTTTTTCCAGTACCGGGAATCGAACTCATGACCTCGCGCTTGTCAGGCAGGTGCTGTGCCACTGAACTAAATCCCCAGCCCCTCAACTCCTCATTAAAAAGGCAGATTTCCAGGTTTGATTAAAAAACACATTTAATCGAAAAACAAATGCATGGAGTAAAACTCAAAGAATGGAGAAAACAATATTCCATGCAATGGGAATCCAGAAATAAGCAGTGGTTATCCTATTTTCAGACGTGGACTTCAAGCCAAAACTGATCAGAAGTGAAGACGGTAACTACATATTGGTAAAGGGAACAATTCAACAGGAGGAGATAACAATTATAAACACATATGCACTGAGCACCAGGCACACCCAACTTCATAAAACAAATGCTACGGGACATGAAAGATCAGGTAATTGATGTGAGTACAGCTGGGAGCCTCAACACCCACTGTCACAAATAGATCAACTGGATAAAAAAACCAACAAAGAAATATCAGAGTTGAATGAAACCTTTGAACAAATGGACTTAATAGATATCTACAGTGTTCCACCAGCATATGGAAGTTTCTCCCAAACAAATGCACGCTTAAGTAAATACAAAAGAATTAAAATTATCCCATGCGTATTATCAGATCTCAGCACAATGATAGTAGCAATCAATGGCAAAAGAAAGCACAAGAATTATGCAAATACATGGAGATTAAACAATACACTCTTGAATAATCAATGGGTCAAAGAAGAGACTGGTATCTAGAATCAAATGATAATGCCAGTACAACATACCAGAACATATAGGGTACAATGAAAGTATTCTTAAGGGGGAAATTTGTAATTGTGAGTACCCACATCACAAAAACAGATCAACCCCAAATAACCTACTGATGCACTTCACATTCCCCCAAAAACTTTATAGCTGAGTAGTACTCCATTGTATAAAAATACCACATCCTTTTTATCTATTCCTCAGTTGATGGGCATGTGGGTTGTTTCCAAGACGGGCAACTACTTTGAAGATAACAATGCACAATGTACAGAACATTGTTACTCTTCTACAATCTTGTTTGTAATTTTATACCATTGTTATTATTTATCTTTCTTCTCTTTAAAATTAAAAAAAAAAAAAAAAAATTCCCCAAAAAACAAGCAAAAAGCCAAAGCCAAAGCTGGTACAAGGAAGAAAACTATGAAGATCAGCAGAAAGTAATGAAATTGAGATAAAAAAAATACCATTAAAAAAAAAAAAAATCAACGAGTCAAAGAGCTGGTTCTTTTAAAGAATAAACAACAGACAAGCCCAATCTGACCAAAAAAAGGAAAGGCTGAAAATCAATGCAATTAGAAACAAAAAAGGCAAAAATCACAATGAATATCACCAAAGTCCAGAAGATTGTTAATAACTACTTCAAAAATCCTCACTCTAATAGTAGAATTCAGAAGAAATAGACGTCTATATACATGTGAATTACCAAAAGTGAAACAAGAAGATATAAAAAGCCCAAATAACCCAATAGCGGGCAATGAAAATGAAGCAGTAATAAAAAAAGAAAAGCCCAGGGCCGAGGGATTCATCACTCAACTCCACAAGAACACCGGCAAGGATGAACACCAATACTCCTCAGACTCTTTAATGACACTGAACAAGAAGTACTTCCAAAGCTCTAGCAAGTACCCTCATCCCACAGCCAAGCCCACCCAAAAAGGACCACTAATTGCAGGCCAATCTCTTTAATGAACATAGACACAAAAGTCTCCCATAGGTTTCTGGCAAAAGGATGCAACAAATCATCAAAAAGATCACACATCATGAATGACCAGGCTCTGCCCCAGGGATAAAGGATGTTGCACATATACAAATCAGTAAGCAAATATAATACACCACACTAACAGAAGCTAGGACAAAAAGCACATGATCATCTCAACTGACTTAGAAAAAGGCTAACAAAATTTGTTTTTTTTTTCTTTAAAAGCTTAAGAAAATAATTATAGAAGGACCTTATCTCAAAATGGTAAAAGTCATATATAATAATACGATTGCCAACATTGTACTGAATAGGGAAAAACAAAGTTTTCTCCCTAAAGTTAAGAACAAGAATGACCACTGTCAACATTCCTGTTCAATATGGTACTCAAAACATTAGCCGGAGCAATCCAACAAGAAAAATAAAAGGGATATGAAAAGGAAAGGAAGCCGGGCATGGTGGCGCACGCCTGTAATGCCAACACTCGGGAGGCTGAGGCAGGAGGATCACTGTGAGTTTGAGACCAGTCTGGGCTACAAAGTGAGCTCAAGGCCAGCATGAACTGCATAGTGACACCCTGTCTCAAAAAAAAAAAAAAAAAGACCAAAAAAAAAGGAAAGGAAGAAGTCAAATCAGCATTATTTACTGATGACATGATCCTCTATGTGAAAGAATTCTTACCAAAATATTTCTACCAAAAGACTGTGAGAATTAGCCAAATTCAGTAGTGTAGTAAGATACAAAACCAACACACAAAAATCCATAGTGTTTCTGTACACCAATAATGAACTCACTGAGAGAGAAGTTAGAAAAATATCATTCACAATAGCATTAAGAAAAATTAAATACAGTGGTGCCTCGGCTTATGAACTTAATTTGTTTTCCAATTTAGGGGCTCCAATTTAGGGGAACATCGCTGCAATTGTATTTGTGTTAGAAGACAGCTGTTGTCATGTTTATCACCCAATGTGGAGTTTGTGAATGGAAGCACAATTTACCAAATGTTTTTTGCAAACAGAAGCATTAATGAACTGAGGCATTACTATACTCAGGAGTGAACCTAACCAAGGAAGTGAAAGACCTCTGGAACACAAACTACAGTACTCTGAAAAAGGACTCTGAAGAGGACTCAGAAAATGGAGCTATCCCCTGTTCCTGGATAGATCTAGACAGAGCCAGGACTGTCAAAATGGCCATAGTCCCAAAACTGATACACAGGGTAAACTCGGTCCCAATCAAACTACCAATACCATTCCTCACAGTACTTGAGAAAACAGTTCTAAAATTCATATGGAACCATAAGAGATCCAGAATAACCAAAGCAACCCTGGGCAGTAAAAGTAAGACAGGAGGTATCAATCCTGGACTTCACGTTATATTACAAAGTGACAGTGATGAAAACAGCACTGTACCGGCAGAGGAACGTGTGGATCACGGGAACCGGAACACAGGACCCCGAAGGACCCTCATGCACAGTCAGCTGTGTCTACCACATGGAAAGACAGCTTCTCTAACAAATGGTGCTGGGAAAACGCTACATCCCCACGCAGAACATTCTTCTAGCCCCGTATTTCTCACAATGTACTAAACTAAAATCAAGATAGATTCACAAAGGAACAGTAATTTGTACACCTGGCTGCCGGGCCTAAACCGCCAGTGATATTGGTGTGACTGTCCCACTTCTACCACCAGGGCTGCAAGCAGCCCGGCGGGACAGTCCTGTGCGGACCGCCGGGGGCTCGCGCCACTGGGAACCTGTGAAAGGTGTAAACGCGAAAGCAGGAACATTTTTTGCTGAGAGATAAAACAGGTAAAAGTCTTGAAGACACAGGCATAGGCAAGTTCTGAATAGAACCCCAACGGTGCAAGAAATAACATGCGGAGTACACAAATTGTTTTGTATCAAATTAAAGATCCTGCGCAGCAAAGGAAAAACCAAGAGAGGAAAGACACAGAACGTGAAAAAAATCTTTGGCAGCTATTCCTCAGACACAACTCAAAATAATGCCACCTCCCCCCAATAAGAGACCCAATCAAGACAATGGGCAACTCAAATGGACAGACACTTCTCATAAGAGGTACAGAAGAAAAAGTACATGAAAAACTGTTCAATGTCTCTGGCCGTTGGAGAAATGCAAATTAAAACACTGAGATTCCATTTTAAAAGAATGGGGCCATCATCAAGAAATTAAGTAATAATAAATGCTGAAGAGGCTGTGGGAGAGAAAGGAACCCTTCTCCACTGTTGGCAGAAATGTAAATCTTTTTTTTTTTTTTTTTTTTGCAGTACCGGGGTTTGAACTCACGACCTTGCGCTTGCCAGGCAGGCACTTATGCCACTGAGCTATTTCCCAGCCCATGTTGATGGAAATGTAAGCCAATACATGCCCTATGGAAATCAGTATGGAGATTCCTCAAAAACTAAAAGG